TCAAGGAGCCCGCCGATCTGGAGGTGCTGACGCCGCCGCGGCCCACAAAGCAGGCAAGCGAGCAGCAGCAAGGCGAGGAGCCGACGCCACGCGGTTCGCTCGTGTACCCGCCGGCCCCGCCGCCATCTGCGAACAAGCAGAGCCCGCGCCGCCGCAGCGGCAGCTGCTCTGAGGACGAGGACGAGGACGAGGACGGGGACGACGACGAAAACAACAACAACGGCGGCCTTGCACAAGATGCGCCAGCGCCTGAAACACCAGATGTGGGCGCTATTATCCGTGATTCCTCACACGCGCGCGCCTTCCGGGAGCTGACGAAGGCGGACCTTGTTGTTTACGCCAAGCAGCACCACATCACATTGACCACGTCGAGGAGCAAGAAGGAACTGTTCGAGGTGGCGCGGCGGCTGGCGAAGGGAAATCTAGAGGACAACAAGTAACTCCACGCAGAGTGCCGGGTGGAGTGAGTGGCTTTGCTTCCAGAGGTGCGACTCGCAACAGCCAGAGAGAGGACTTCAACCAAAAGACAAAAAACAAAAACAAATCAAAACGAAAGGGAGGGAGAGAGAGAGAGGAGAAAACGACAGCAAGTGCCCCCCCAAAAATAATAAAGAAGACAAAATTAACGAAGAGAATGCTGAAAAGGCCAGGTATCAAGCAGCATGTGTTTTTAGGTTTAAGTAAGCTGTTTCCACAACCTCCACCTGTCGTTCTCAGAGTTTTGTTGTGCCTGGGCAGCATACATCCTCCTCCGCCACTTCCTGCTCCCGTCTCTGGCCCCGACCCCCCTCTCCTTGCGCCGCCGCGTATATCAGCAGCAGCAGTGGATTTCTCTGTGTGCTCATGCGTGCGTGCCCATGTTGTTGCAGGAGTGCTTGGATAGTGGAGCTGCGGGAAGAAGAAGAGTCACTCACGTGGTGCTTCTGTCAGGCACCATTTTCATCACGTTGTTTTGTTTTGTTTTCTGCTTGGCTAGACTTAGAGAGCGGGCCACAGTGACGGCGTGGCCCCTGTTAGATGGAACAGAAGGAATGTGTGAGAATGAGAAGTTACTATCTTTTTTCTTTTTTTTTTTGTTTTATACGGCGGTTCTCTCCACTGTGCATTTGTGGCGTGTCCACCCACCGCGCTGCGCACTGCCACATATACAAGTGGTGGGGCGCCCGTCGTGTTTTCCCGAGCGGTATTCCAGCTGTGCTTGCGGTCTCGCTCGCTTGGCCCCGTTTCTCCCCCCCCCC